GCGGGGCCCGGCCGCGGGGGGTCCCGGGCTCTCCCCGGGGGCGCCGTGCCTGGACCCGGTGGCGAGGGGCGTGGCGGGGTCCGGGGCAGGCGTTTGCGGCCGTGCCCGGGCACCCTGATGGGCCCCCGGGGCGCGGGCATGGCCCTCAGCCCTGCTTGCGGGGAGGGGAAAGTCTTAGTGTGTATTAGCTCATGGTACGCATGCATCCAGCTTTTTTTCCTCCTTAAATGACGAAACGGAAGCATGCACAGGTGCCAGCACGTAGCTTGTGCGATAACAGACAAATTGGCGTTAGAGATGACACGACTGGTCTGTGTCAGTTTCCTTTTTCCACGTATACTTTTAGAGCGCTGGGCCGTGGTACTGTAACATGTCTTTGTCTGATAGCAAACGGTTTTGATCCAAAGGGAGGCAAGGCAGTGGAGGTGCCGGGGCAGTATTTGGGTGGGCACGTATTGAATGTGTGCTAGAGTACTTAGTGTGTTTCTGTTAGCCCACTTCACTTTGTACCAGTTGTCTCTAGATCATGTAGATCTAGTCTACGTTTGGACCAGCGTTTCTAAGGTTGCGAGCCTTTTTAAAGGAGTTGATTAGAAGAGCATTCGAGTCATTCACGTATATGAAATACCTCTAAAGTGAAGCCTGTTTGCCCGTGTATCTAAATTTGAGAACTTAAAAAATCACTTGAGTCACCCACCACATCAGATTTCTAGATAGCTATAGAAAATGATGGGAAAGTCAGAAACTGGACTTTGGGTTTTTTCTGAACTATGTCCTAAGTTGAGATGCTTATGCCACAGACAGGGCTTAAAAATGGAGATCAGCATGGAAACTGAATATCCAAAATAATGTTCTGCTCCCCTTCAGTATAGGGGTAAACGATCAATTTTCAGCTTGACTGAGAGGAGTTGTGGGAAGCCTGCCCAGTGTGGAAGTGTTGTGGTCTGAAAATGATGTGACTTACGCAATTTTCAGCCTTTGGGAAGGATTAAGTTCCATTTAGCATTTGATAAGTGAAACTTTTTACTGCTTCTGAGGATAAGCTGCTAGTACTCAGATTTTTGAGAGGATGTGTGGAAGATTTCATGTGAAGTATGAGAAGCTGTAGCAGTTGCTTTGGTTGTTTGTTACCTTGAATTTCCGATGCATAGAGGTGAGTCACCTTTGGTGGTGGTAACTGGAAAGGGAGGATGTTTTGAAATGATGCACAAGGAAATCTGAGAATCAAAACCAAAATGAAGAGGTTTGGCATCCTAGGAAGATGAAACAATTGTAAAATGTTGTAGTTACCACAAAAATGATGAACTTGTAAAACACTTTATCAATCTCAAAGGATAAATACAAACTTTTCTCATCATAAACTCACATAGTAATTGCATAGGTCCTTTTGTTTCAAAGAAAGTGTAGGTACCCAGGGCCTGAAAGGGGCTTGGAAACAGTACTGTTAGCATCAACCACAAGAGTAGGAGGGAAATCTGTCTGAAACTTGTGGCTCACGTGAACACCCTGAAGGCTCAAGGGAAGCTGGAGTCAGAACTGTATCTGAAACTTGAATGTTTAGATTCACCTCTGCCTAGGGAGCTGGCAGAAAATGCACTAAGCAGCATGTTCTGTGGTATTGCTTCATAAAATTGTGAATGTGTTGGATATTCAGCAAACACATACTCAGCTGGTTAATTGACGCTTCCTGTACAAGGCTTCAGTCTACTAGAACATATTCTATTTATGTGGCTATATGTGTCTTAAAGAGTCATAATTATATAAAACAGCTAATATGGATTATGCATCTTTTTCAGTTTAGTTATGCA